CTGCCAAACATAATGGCGGTGTAAAATGGCTGCCACCCAAAATGGCTGCCACACAAAATGGCTGCCGTGCAAAATGGCTGCCACGCAAAATGGCGGTGTAAAATGGCTGCCACACAAAATGGCTGCCACACAAAATGGCGGTGTAAAATGGCTGCCGCACAAAATGGCTGCCACGCAAAATGGCGGCCACACAAAATGGCGGCCACGCCTCAGGAAATGGCGGGAAACGGAAACGTCGGGAAACATTCTCCAAAAAACCCCAATTTATTCCCCAAAAAGCCGCGGTTTGTCCCCAAACCCGCCAGGGTTCAATGAGAAATTCATTCCCCTGACCTGCGGCGGGAACAGGCGGTCGGCGCCGGCGTCGGGGGGCGGGGCCCGCGGCAGCTCGGGCGGGGGAGGGGAGCGGGGGCGGGGCCGCGCGCGGGCGGGGCTGCGCGGGGGCGTGGCCGCGCAGGCGTCGATCTCGTAGTGCACGTATTTACAGGTGTCCATGTGGAAACAGGTGTTGAGGAAGGAACAGTCGCCCAGAGACTCGTCCGTGTGCTTGTTGATGATGCGGCTGGCGGGGGGAACAGGCGGAAACGGGGAAAAACAGGCGGGAACGGGGAAAAACAGCCGGAAATGGGGAAAAACAGCCAAAAAATGGGATTTTGGGGGGGAAAAACAGCCGGAAACAGGGAAAAACAGGCAGAAATTGGGAAAAACAGCCAGGAACGGGGAAAAACAGCCAGGAACGGGGAAAAACAGCCAGGAACGGGGAAAAACAGCCAGGAACGGGGAAAAACAGCCAGGAACGGGGAAAAACAGCCAGGAACGGGGAAAAACAGCCAGGAACGGGGAAAAACAGCCAGGAACGGGGAAAAACAGCCAGGAACGGGGAAAAACAGCCAGGAACGGGGAAAAACAGCCAGGAACGGGGAAAAACAGCCAGGAACGGGGAAAAACAGCCAGGAACGGGGAAAAACAGCCAGGAACGGGGAAAAACAGCCAGGAACGGGGAAAAACAGCCAGGAACGGGGAAAAACAGCCAGGAACGGGGAAAAACAGCCAGGAACGGGGAAAAACAGCCAGGAACGGGGAAAAACAGCCAGGAACGGGGAAAAACAGCCAGGAACGGGGAAAAACAGCCAGGAACGGGGAAAAACAGCCAGGAACGGGGAAAAACAGCCAGGAACGGGGAAAAACAGCCAGGAACGGGGAAAAACAGCCAGGAACGGGGAAAAACAGCCAGGAACGGGGAAAAACAGCCAGGAACGGGGAAAAACAGCCAGGAACGGGGAAAAACAGCCAGGAACGGGGAAAAACAGCCAGGAACGGGGAAAAACAGCCAGGAACGGGGAAAAACAGCCAGGAACGGGGAAAAACAGCCAGGAACGGGGAAAAACAGCCAAAAAATGGGATTTGGGGGGGGAAAAACAGCCAGAAATTGGGAAAAACATCCGGAAACGGGGAAAAACAGGCGGAAATTGGGAAAAACAGGCGGAAATTGGGAAAAACAGGCGGAAATTGGGAAAAACAGCCAGGAACGGGGAAAAACAGGCAGAAATTGGGAAAAACAGCCAAAAAAATGGGATTTGGGGGGGGAGAAACAGGCGGAAACGGGGAAAAACAAGCAGAAATGGGGAAAACAGGCGGAAATTGGGGGTTTTTTTGGGAAAAACAGCCGGAAACGGGGAAAAACAGCCAAAAAATGGGATTTTGGGGGGGAAAAACAGGTGAAAACGGGGAAAAACAGGCGGAAATTGGGAAAAACAGCCAAAAAATGGGATTTTAGGGGGGAAAAACACCCAAAAAATGGGATTTTAGGGGGGAAAAACACCCAAGAATCCCAAAAAACCCCAAATAAATCGCAAAGAACCCCCAAAAATCCCAAATAAAACCCCCAAAAAATCCAGAAAAAAATAAAAAAAAAAATCCCAAGTAAATCTCAAATAAATCCCAAATAAATCCCAAAAAACCCCCAAAGAATCCCAAATAAATCTCTAATAAATCCCAAATAAATCCCCAATAAATCCCAAAAAACCCCCAAAAAATCCCAAATAAAACCAAAATAAACCCCAAAAAACCCCTAATAAATCTCAAAAATCCCCCAAAAAATCCCAAATAAATCCCAAATCCCAAAAAATCCCCAAAAAATACCAAATAAATCCCAAACAAAAAACTAATAAATCCCAAATAAATCCCAAAAAACCCCCAAAAAATCCCAAATAAAACCAAAATAAACCCCAAAAAACCCCTAATAAATC